CAAGCAATGTGGCAGATTGTGACCAGGGAACTGTAAGGAGAGAAATGTTGGCTTCAGTGCGTTGGCAATGTTGGGGTATTGCAAAGTTTGCACCAGATGGTTCCCACAAATGCTCACACCGGAACAGAAAGAACATCACATGCACATCTGTAAGGACCTGTTGAGCCAATGCAAGGCTGAAAGTGACAGTTTGCCTGATTGCATCTTTACCAGTGGCAAGATGCAGAATCACCAATATGGGCTGGAGTCAGAACAGCAGTCCATGTGAATTCCTCCTCGAAGACAAAGTTAAAGATGCAGCTCTCAGTGAGTAAAGAGTTGTGTGCTGTCTGTGGGGATAGGAGAAGGGTGATCTTTCTGAATTTTCTGGAACCTGAACAAACCATCTGTCCTAACCACTACATTGCAGTGCTGACTAAGCTGAAGGTTTGAACACCCAGAGTAGAGAAGAAGACAACATTTCTTTTGCAACACGATAACACCGGGCCCCATAGTAGTTTGAAGACCATGGAGCACATTGCCAATCCTGCCATGCCCACTGTATAGCCTGGATTTGGCAATTTCCAACTGTCATCTGTTTGGGCCAATGAAAGATAGACTGCATGGGCATCATTTTCCTAGTAACAATGCCATCAAACCAGATGTGAAACAATGGATCACCTCCTCTGGTTTGCATGAGCATGGTTTGCAGACTCTTGTCATTGCTGGTGAAAATGCGCAGCTAATGGTGGTGACTGTTGAAAAATAGTGTTTTGTAGCTGAAAATTTGCTCTACTAAATAGCGTTATTGTTCTCTTTGCATCTGTTGTCATTTCCATGGAAATAAACAGAAGGCATTACATTCAGATCAACCTACATAATATGGAAAACAAAATACTAATGCACAGTGCAAGCCAACAGAGGGGAAGAGATCACAGTCAACCAGTGCACATCATGAACAAATCCTTACAAGGCCCTATTTGATTTTTTTTCTTGACAAACGTTTTTGTTGTTAACTATCTTTAATTTTATTTCAGCACGATTCTTTCCATTTTAAGGATCCACTAAGAATTGTTAGTAAGTAATTGTTCATTAGGATTGTACCTGAGTTTCGTTTATTTTTTAGCTCTGTTCAGCTTGGGTAGTTTTTAATCAGATTAATACTTATTTCACTAATTGTTGCATATTCTGTTCAGTTACATATCTTAAAAACGATTGTTTGTGGGGTGGCCCAGGCCAAGCCTCACTGAGCTGAGCCTGACTTCCACATCAGACTGGTGGCCATGCTGCACTCCCCTTCGAAATGGCAGAGAGCTGATGTTAAGGAATGGACCTGAGGGCACGAGGTGGAAGAAGCTGTAAGAAGCTCCTGCACTGCTACAGCACTGCAGTACCAGGCAGCTTTTTAATTTAGTCAAGCATCCCACTTGGAGGATGAAAATGCTGAAGGAAAGGAACCTCCATGGGCTGTGGGAGATGAGGCCACTGGGATGCAGTTTGGACAGTACGAGAGGGAATAAATGTGAAAGGCTCAGAGGCTCTTGCTGCAGCTGGAGGTAGCTTGCACTGACCCTGATGAGAGCATTGTGGTGCTGTGTGCTGGCAGCACTGTCACCATATTTCAGTTGCTGCCAGCTGCTGGGCAAACATAACGTGGAAGTCAAAGCTAGAAAAGAATCACAGAGCCAGGAGGGTTTTCCAGCCCCCTAAATGGCTGCTCCTGCACAGAGAGGAGACACCATCCAAAGGAGGCAAGGAGGGACTAATTCTGTAGTAGAGGAGTGGCTTTGTCTTTGATCCTTACAGCCTTCAGAGCTCTCTCAGTGCTGGAATTTGTCTTAAAAATTGGAAAAAAGAGAATCTGCCTGCATTAATATATCCCCAAGCTTATTTAAGCACACCTAGAACTGACAATAGATCTGGTTTGCTATTATTTGGTCATGAACCTAGGAAAGCCTGGCATAGATGGACATGAAGTCATATATTCTTCATAGTTTATGAATTATCCTGTGAATGTATGGAAAACATGTCTCATTATTTCAACTCCCAGTGGTGGAAACTGTGCAAATAAATGACTCTGAGTCAGAAGGTGAATCAGTGTTAAGTTAGCTCTATGCCAGTTGCTTAAGAGCACAGACATGACAGGCAATTACTTGGCTAATTAGAGCAGAACTTTGAAATAATAGAGCCATACAATCATTAAGGTTGGGAAAGACCATTATGATCATCTAGTGCAACCACCGTCCTATCACCACCATGCCCACTAAACCATGTCCCTCACTGCCACATCTACATGATTCTTGAAGACCTCCAGGGATGTGACTCCACCACCTCCCCGAGAAACCTGTTCCAATAACTCACCACTATTTCTGAGAAGAAACTCTTCCATATATCCAACCTGAACCTCCCTAGCACAACTTTAGGCCATTCTCTGTTGTCCTATTGCTAGTTACCTGGACAAGAGACTAACCTCCACCTTGCTACAACCTCCCTTCAGGGAATTATAGAGAATGATATCTGTGAATTATAGAGAGGTCTCCCCTGAGCTTCCTCTTCTGCAGATTAAACAGTCCCAGTTCCCTCAGGAGAGTTCCTCTCCTCATAGGACTTATGCTCCAATTCTTCACCAGCTTTGTTGCTCTTCTCAGAACTTGCTCCAGGGCTTCAATGTCTTTCTTATAGTGAGGGGCCCAAAAGTGAACACGGCACTTGAGGTGCAGCCTCACTCAGCTGCGTACAGGGGGATGTACAGGATATCAAGTCAGGATATCATTGACTCTCTTCTCTTCTCTGCCTCGAGCCTGTAGCATTGCCTGGGGTTGTTGTGAACAAAGTGTGGGACCTGACACTTGATTGAACCTCACCCCACTGGTCTCAGCCTAGAATCACAGAATCATAAAATCACCAAGGTTGGAAAAGACCTCTGAGATAAAGCAGTCCAACTGTCCACACATCACCAATATTTCCCACTAAGCCATAACCCTCAGTACAACTTCTAAGCATTTCTTGAACACCTCCAGGCATGGTGACTCCATCACCTCCACCACCTGGACAGCCCGATACAGTGCCTGACCGCTCTCTCAGGGAAGTATTTCCTAATGCCCTGGATCTCCCCTGGCACAACCGGAGGCTGTTCCCTCTTGTCTTACTGCTAGATAATGAGAGAAGAGGCTGACTGCCCACCTCACCACAACCTCCCTTCAGCAAGTTGTAGAGAATGATGAGGTCTCCCCTGAGCCTCCTCTTCTCCAGACTGAACAATGCTAGTTCCCCGGCTGCTCCTCATAAGACTTGTGCTCTAGACCCCTTACCAGCTTCGTTGCCCTTCTCTGGACATTTTCCAGGGCATGAATGTCTTTCTTGTAGTGAAGTGGCCCAAAACTGAACACAGTACTTGAGATGCAACCTACTGATCCAGCCAGTCCAGATCCCTCTGGAGGGCCTTCCCAACATCAAGCAGATGTACACTTCCCCAAACTGGTGTCTACTGCAAACTTACTGAGGATGCACTCAACCCCCTCATCCAGATCATCAATAAAGATGCAGGACAGGCACCAATACCAACCCCTGGGGAGCACCACTTGTGAGCAGTCACCAACTAGGTTTAGCTCTATTCACCGCCACTCTCTGAGTCAGCCCTCCAGACAGTTTTTCACCCAGTGAAGAGTTCACCTCTGCAAGCCACGGGCTGCCTGTTTCTCTAGGACAGTACTGTGGAAGATAGTTAAAAGCTTCACTGAAGTCTAGGTAGATCTCATCCACAGATCCACTAGGTGGATCACCTGGTCATAGAAGGTGATCAGCTTGGTCACCAGGACCTGCCTTTCATGAACCTTTGTTGGCTTGGCCTGAGCTCCTGCTTTCCTGCACACGCTGAGTGATTTCACTCAAAACAATTTGCTCCCTGACCTTCCCAGCACTGAGGTCAGACTGACAGGCCTGTAGTTCCCTGGATTCTCCTTCTGATCCCACTTGTAGATGGGTGGCACATTGGCAAACCTCTGGTGGCCTGGGACCTCCCCATGGTTGGCCATGACTGCTGCTAAATGATGGAAAGCAGCTTGCAATCACTTCTGGCAGCTCCCTCAGTACCCTCAGATGGATCCCACCTGGCGCCATGGATTTGTGACAGTCTGTGTGAAGTATCGTGTCAGTAACCGTTTCCTCTTGAACTGTGGGGGAATTCCTCCTGAAATGTAAGGCTTTCAAATGAGTTTACCAGAATTAGGTGCCTCGTGTCCTTCTGCTGTCGATGGGAGGTGGGTACATCTTTCCTTTAAATGCTCAGTTTAACAGAATGTCTAAGGAGTTTTATTCAGAAGCTGAGGGAGCAGCATTTCCAGTGGGTGCCTGGGCAGCATGCTCCTTGCAGAGGGACAGAATGCCTCTAGACCATACGTGTCCAGTATGTTACTTTTATGTTTTTGTTGCCCTCGTCTTTAGATGTTTGAATAACAACAACAACAAATAACTAAATAAATGCATAAAAATTGTTACTTACGTATATTAACTATTTATTTTATATGTGGCCCACGCCATTCCTGCATTAACTATTTTTTTACATGTGGCCCAAGCAATTCCTAGTCACTCAGGGTGGCCCAGCCAAGCCAAATGGTTGGGCACCTATGACTTTGGCCTGAACCAGGTCCTGCTGATGTTCTCTTGGATGTTGGAAGAGGTGGCATCTGATCCAGAGTCTTTGCCAACACCATTTTGAGAGGACATGTAAATGCAATAGAAATGGCACGGCTTCCCCTTGAAATGCTTAGCAGGCAATTAGTCCTGTGCAAGAGTTCAGACTTAGGAATTTAGAATTAGGATGGCTTCCTTTTGCTCCACTGATAGGCAAACTAACTTGCTTATCCCTTGGTAAAGTTGCCTGGCATTACTGAAAGATAAGCGGCACATTCAAAGTGCTCAACCCAGGCACTTCTTTGCAGAACATGCAGCTGTGTCCTTGATTGCAGCAGCCACTACCCATCTTTGCAGCTGATTGATTTCCCCCTTTATATCTTTCCTAGGGAGAGAGCATGGACTAGTGCTGTGGATGTGAACTGGGCAAGAGTTAAATGCTGCCATGGAGCCGTTGTCTCACCTTTGAAAATGCAGTGGGAGATACGTACCTCTGCTCTTGTGAAGAATCCTGTTTTCTTGCTGGCAGCACAGCCTGCTCCAATTAGGAAAACAAGATCTGAAACAAGGCCTGGAGTTGGTCTGTCCCCTGCTGTGGCAGTGGTACTGTTGCTGCTTTTGTGGTAAGTAGGGCAACTTCTTTGCCAGGCACCTCTCTGAATACAGCAAATGCAAAGTCATTGATTTTCTTTAGACTCAGTATGTTTCCCCTCTGTGGGACTGTGGAGCTGGAAGGACTCTCCTGCCTGCAGAGGATTTGCTTCCATTTGGGCTCCAGCCAGGCAAGACAGGAATCCTAATTGCTTACTGCTTTATGGATCACCTAGAGCAGCAAAACTTGGTGCTTTTTCCTCCAGTATAGGAATGGTCTAGGGGTATTTTTTTGCCTTTTTTTTTTCTTTTCCTATGGATTTATATAAGGCAGATGAAGGGAGAGTAGTAGCATCCTCATTAGATGTGTGTGAAGGCTGTTGCCACAGTTATGTCTTGAAGGAGGTTGCATGAGGTAGCATGGTAAACGAGCACCAGAGGTGGTAGCGTTATGTGGGATACTGTGATCTCAGCTACTAAAGTGCTTTCATGTGGTGGGTGAGGAATTGAGGTGAAGGGGCTGAAGTGACAAAAGGCTACAAGGGAAGTGAGCAGCAGGATTGGGAACTCAGTCACGTTCCCAAATAGCAAGGCTCTGTGGTGATGCATGGTCTTGCCTTGCTGCTTCAGCTTTCAGGAACTCTCTGGGCCAGTAGTAATATCCGTGCACGTAGCAGCCTTACGTACATCTCTACCATCTGCAGCATCCTTTGTCAAGAAGAGATGCAGTGAGGATTTGCACCATGGGAGAACTAACTCCAAAGGCTCCCAGAGGGTGCCAGGAGTTTGTTGGACGAACCTGGTCTGGCCCAAGGTGCAGGAGTTGCTCATTTAAGGTCTTACCTCACTCCAGGTGCATACAGAAGCTCATCCAGCTCTTCTTCAGAAACAGAGATGTGTAGCTGCTACCAGGCAATAAAACCTAGGCAGTCCTAGTCTCTCTGGCTCTGTTGGTTTGCTTTGAGAGACTTGTGCTCACATTTGCCATCATATTTTTGTCCCGGCTTGGGAAAGCAGTAGCTAGAATGGAATGAGAGGCTTATTTGAAATCCCTAGGTACTACTCATAATTAAGGAACAAAGGAGAAGTTTGCTATTAATTAACATTTATTGCCCTATTTTTGACCCTCCAAATGCTGTTGTGGTGCACTAAGTCTCCAAAAAGGCCTGTTATCCTCTCTGGGGTGCGATTAATCTTCATTACTGCTTCTCTATTAGCCTGACACTCTTTGTTAATTTCTCATTAATGATCTGGCAGATCGGGGCTGCCAGTTAAGGGAGTAACAGAGAATATTATTGGGAAAATAGAGCACTTCCAAATGGTATAGTAGCAGCTCAGGGCCCTGCTGCCCAGGCATCATGGCATAGCCTTGGCCACTGTCAATGGGCTGATAGTGGTACTTGCTGGTTGTTGATGTGAAGCAAATGGTGATAAACCATATTGGTTTTTTTCCTTTGTTCATCTGGTCTGGCTTCTCACTTGGCTTATCCATGTGTTGCTTTGAGCCACTGGAGTTTTTGGGTCCTGCTTTGATAAGTTTCCATCAGCTCCCATTAGCCTCTGTGAAATGGTATGAGAAGAGCTGGGCTCATCAGGAGTGCTGATACAGCATTTGTTGCCAGTTTCAGCCATGGCTTGTAGGAAGCTTTTCTACTGACAGGGTAACCCTCACAGCATCTGCAGGGGGATAAAAATAAGTCATTTACAATGACTTACCGGTCAACAAATGAGTCAGTGTCAGAGTCAAGCAGCTAGGTTTCCTGGCACCCAGGGCTGATGTACTCTGCATTGGGCTCCAGAGAGAAGTGCTGTGACAGACATAGATGTACAGCCTGCTCATCTCTAGCTACTTCAGTTTCTCATGGATAGCCATGGAGAAGCAATTTGTTTCTTCACAAGGGCTTCAAATGCAATGTGTACCAAGGTTACATTACTCTGCTGCGACATAATGTTGATTTTTATTGACAAGTCCTGGATCAAGGAATTGTCGTTTTTTCAAGACACTTTGTAGTTGCTGAAAGAACCTGTTAAATGCAGTCTGTGAAGGATCCAAAATAAAATAATAATAATAATAATAGTTCTTTTAAAAAAAGGAGAAACAAAAGCATATCTACAATATATATTTTTTCAAGTTTTATTATTATTATTATTGGTGGCAGAGGTTGGATTTGTAAATGGATTGATTGCAAGTATCAGTGGCTGGCGAGACTAGGAAGCACAGGGTAGTTCTGACTCACTCAGTGGCCTTGGGCTCCGTTGACCACATCCCAAAGACCAGAAAAGAGCAATTCCCTGCTTTCTGCCAGGTCGGGGCACAGCCCTGCAAAGGCAGCGGAGCAGCGTGGTCAAAGATGGGAGTGAGGTGTATTGCCTTTGAGGAACCCTGGGTTCAACAAAACACTCTTTGCAGCTATTTCCTCCTCTCTGGAGTGCCTCAGGGCTTTGCAGTTGCTCTGCAAGGTACTTGGAGCATTCAGGGTGTTGTATGCACAATCTTCAAATCTGTTGCTTGGATCTAAAGTTTTGCCTTTTGGACACATCAGCACCCTGGTATGTTTCTAATCTTCAAGTGGATTAGAGCAGTTTTGATGTTCAGGTTGGAGAGGTAAATACTCACCGCTACGTATTTCAATTCTACTTTGTACAAACGTCTAAAAAATGCGATATATTGTCTCAGCAAACATTCCTGCCTTGGAACGTGTTTGCTAGATAGCTGGCAAAAAGCTAGAGCTGATGGGATGTGAACTTGCACCAAGGTAATCTTGTTTATGCTTTTTGAATACATGACTGCAAATAATTTTTCGTTCTCCTTTCTCTGCCCCAGTATAAGCTGTGCACAAACTAGGAAAGGAGATTTCTGCCAGACTCAGGCTACTCTGTCCCTGTTAGCTGAAGGACTGTTACCATTCAGGCTGGGGATGGGAAGAGGGCTTTTTGCTGACAGAAAATGGAGCTGTTCCAGTAGTAGCATGCTTTCCAGGCTTCTGCTGGGAGCTCGAAATACTGCTGCAGTACTCAGTGGGAATTTGAGGAGAATATTTGGTCAGCCAACATGATGGTGTATTGTCTCAGCTCTTCCCATACTGGGCAGGTGGTTTACAGAGCTCCAGCTGTGCTGTAATAATGGAGGATGCAGGCTGGTAAGAGAGGCAGTGGAAAGGCAAGGCAGGCGAGCCACAGTTTCCGAGAAGTCTCACAGCCATCTTTCCATTTACAAAGAGGTTTTGGATGGAAATACCATCTTTTTTTTTATTTTTTTTCCTTAAAAAAAAGTAGAAAAAAAGGTGGCAGCCCTACTTTTCCTATTCAATCCTACTGAAGTGGAAAAATTCTGATCATACCTACCTATTAACAGCAATTACTGTAGCATCCAGAGCTTGTGATCATCAATCACAGACAATTTGGGTCACTGTGGTTGTTTTCCCATTACAAGTGAGTCCCAATATAAAAATAAAATAAAATAAATTAAAATGCCCCCTGTTGAGGCGAAAGATGTGGCTGAAAGGGGTAGGAATAGCTGTGGTCTTTGCCCAATGCTGGCACATTGGAATTAGGACTTGTGTGTTGAGATGCCGGACCTGTTTATACACCCGTTGAGGTATATGGAGAACTGCTGCAGCTGCTGAAGATCAGGCAGTGGTATGTCAAAAACGTCTAGACAAGATGGAAGACTACAAGGATTGGGGAGAAGAAGAAAAAAAAAAAAAAAGCAGCAAAGAACAAGTAGATTGCGTGATTATATGCTGCCCGAGGAAGATAGATTGAGATCATACTAATTCTCTGGGGAAACTCTACATGTAACAATTATATGTTCAGTTAGATGCACTATGCTATGCAATATTTTTCTTTTTTTAATTAAAAAAAAAAAAATGGAATGAGTGCTCAAAGAAATGTGGAGGAGGTTAGTGAAGTGCTGAGCTGAACCCTTTATCTTTTATATATCTCTGTATGTACTGCGTAGTAGAGGAGAAAGAGCAGAGAAAAGGATGCGCTTGACATGTGTCAGAGATATCAACAGCTCCAGTGACAATTTTAAGGAAATTAAATGGAAATCAAAGCAGAGCATTTTTGAGCAGAAGTCTCAAAAGCATTTAAAAACATAGAACATCAGAAAAGCTCAGCATGTGTCAGCCCCTTTCGTGTCCAGCACGTTAGGACCAGAAAGCCAAGGACTCGATGGGTTCACTACACCAGAGGGCAGGAAAACCTCTATGGCAAAACAGCTCCTTCTAAGAGGCCAGAGCTCTGCAATCCCAGCGTAGCCGAGGGATAAAGGGAGAGAACTGGGATGCCTGGGTACTGATCTGTCAGCATATTGCAGGTAAAACCTTCTTTAATTCTTCAGCTTAGCTGGCCAGAAGAATTCACTTCATTTCATGGGATTTGCCACTGCACTGTATCACTCCTTTTGGCATGCTGCTCCAGTGGCCCCAGCCCCTAGATGTGTTCTTCATCCTCACCTCAAGGAGGCTTGGAGGAGGTGGGACCTCGCTACTCCTACCAGCTGTCGGGCTCTCAGTGAATTCTGTGCCATCTGGAAAGCAGGGCACCATGAGTTATGAGTTATGAAGTGGCTGAAACCAACCACCACTTGACTTCCTCAGTTTGGTTTCTCATGGTCTTGCAAGTCCATGCACCACATGGCGTTTTCAGTGCTCTTCCACTGAAACAAACATCACTTGGCTGCCATCACTTTGCTGGAACAGCACGTGGCCGCTCTTCCATTTCTCACCCTTACTCCCATTTCAATCTCTGTCCATGTCATGGGTATTTTCATCCTCCTTGGTCGTGCATAACACATTAGAGACAGCAGCTGGCATGCCATGACACCACTTCTGTCACAATCCATTGCCTCTGTGGTACAGAAGATCAGGCAGCACACATAGCCTGGCACAGAGAGGAGCCACAGATTGATGCACCAGTGTGTCTATGCAGCAGAACAGTGTGTTGTGTAAGGAAGTGAGAGGAAAAAAAAGACACTGACATGTTTTCATTTCCTCAGGAACCCATCCTCCAAGAAAACCACAAGAGGAATGAGTCATCCACAGAGGATATTGGCCTCTCTCACTTGCAGCTGTTAAGCTTTAATTCTATAATTTTAGTTTACCAGACAAAGAAAGAAAGAAAGAAAGACTGGATAGGATGCATGCCATTGTAGCTGTGTAGAATTCTCCCTTTTCCAGCATGAATGTTGGATATCAGGTGTTTGAGCTATGAGTTACTCAAGCGCAGGTGAAGTTGGTGCATGCACATCCCTGGGCTTCAGGCATAGCTCTGTGAGATCCTGTAAGAACACATCGCTGGTGAAAACAGCAGAAATAAATGTTAGAATTCTCTCTGTGTGGGTACTTAAAAATGAATCGCTGTCTTTCAGATGAATTCCTGTATACAAGACCCAGGCAGTGCAGAGCTGGGAGTAGCAGTTGATTCACTGGAGGGACCGTGCTGCCATTCAGAAAGACCTTGACAAGTGGAGAAATGAGCCTACAGGAACATCCTGCAGCTCAACAGAAAGAAATGCCAAATCCTGATCCTGGGGAGAAAGAAACCCAGGCACTACTACAGGATGGGGAACCCCCAGCGGGAAGACAGCTGGAAGAGGAAAGACCTTGGGATTTTGGTGGACACCTAGTTGAACAGGAGCCAGCAGTGTGCCTTTGTGGCACATCTTCAGCATTAGAGGAATTGTTGCCAGCAGGTGGGAGGAGATGATCCTCTTTCCACGCAGCTCTGGTGAGATGCAGCTGGGCTTCCAGTACAGGAGGGACGTGGACACACTGAAATGTACCAAATGAAGGATCAAGAGGAGCATGAAGAGATTGGGTCACATTTAACTTAAGAGAAGAGGCTGAGAGAGCTGGAGTTATTCAGTATGGAGTAGGGAAAGCTGGGGTTGGAGGAGGACTTATCAATGGGCGCAAAATAAAACACAGGAAATTCCATTTCGAAATAGAAAATCCTTTACTGTAGAGTGGACTAACACTGGAATAGGTTGTTCAGAGAAACTGTGGAGTCTCTACTCTTGGAAATGCTAAAAACCCTAACAGATATGATTCTGAGCAATTCTGCTCTGAGCAGTTTGGACTAGACAATCTGCAGAGCACCCTTCTGACCTCAGTTGTTCTGTGATTTTTATTCCCAGTTCTTAACACCAAATAGATTACTCAGCTGCCAATGACCTGGTAAAGAACTAAACTGATTCTCTTTAGAGTGAAGGTCTACTGGGCTGGCGTGGATTAGGCGAGCCAGACAGGGCTGTCAACTGGATAAACTGTCTTCTTCCTTTTCTTCCAAGTTCCTCCCTTTGGCAAACGTGATGTAATGCAAAGCCAGGACCAGAGTTTATGATCTTTAGGTCTAGGAACTGCTTTTGTTATATAAATAACAAATTGAAAAGTGAGGCTGTAGCAAGATCTTCTCAATATATCAGGTCAGAACCTCTTCAGTTATCAAGCCATCTCCTGTTCTCCGGCTTTGGCTGGAGTGAATGCAGAAGACAGTTTTTTACGGTTCATGCCACAAGGTGTAGGGAACTGGCTGCAGATATCAGCTTAAGCTATTTTATGGAAGAAGAAAGCGGTCTGGGATGAAAAGCAAGGCTAGTATTATGAATATGTGCTATAGCTTGTACTGTTGGTCTAATAGAAATTCTGCTTGTTTCTCCAAAGCCTGTTAGAACTTAGAAGATGGGATTTCAAGGTGTTACTCTATTAGTGATAGAGGATGGAACTGAAATCCTCTCACTTTTTTCATGACACCGTGGGAAATAATTTCAAGTTATGATCAGGGTTCTGAGGAAGAAGGCAAGAAGGTCTCAAAGGTCAGGCTGTGATCATTAAAAGTCTAGGAGGTCTCCCATGGGTACTGGCAAGCTAAGGGCTCTGCAAAACTAAGATCTCAACTAAGTTTGGGCTGCTTGGGGATAAACTAATTCCTTAGAAAATGGAGTGGAATGGTCACCATCCAGCCTTGAAAGGATGAGTCAATGCAAAGCCTTGGAAGACTTTGCACTAAACTAGCCTTGAATGACGTGGAGGTTGGTGGCCCTGCGTGTAGCAGGGGGGTTGGAGATTCATGATCCTTGAGGTCCCTTCCAACCCTGGCCAGTCTGTGATTCTGTGAACCAAAAGTAATAAAAAGTTCCTCGATCATCTGTTGTTCTTGGCTTTTCTGTTATGGTGTTTTCTTTAAGACTGCCTCTATTTCTTTTTGCTCTGTACTGAAATACTCGAGCCAGTGGCATGGAGTACTAGCGACAGGGTGGGTTTGGCAATTAAGCATCTAAAAAGCTTCATTAAAGATCTGTGAAAACATGAGGATTCTCAGTAAAATATCTTTCATTCTGGAGAAGTCAAGGAAGTCATGTAGCCATAAGGTAGCAGAAAGAAGTTCTGCAACTGTTTGTTTTATCTTAACTTGACAAACAGGTATATGCTTCTGGTTTCCTCTTCCCTCCTCATGGAAAAGAAGCCATGGCTTTCAAAACGCAGTTTAAATGTGGAATGCAATGTCCCCATACCCCCAGCTCACTTCTAATTGAGATAAAATACAAACTACTCACTCTAATGTTGAAGAGCCAAGAAATGCCTTGTGGTTAAGGCAAGTTTGGCCATTAGTCACTTTTTGAGTCCCAGTTCTGCCAGCAACAGTGTGTGACATCAGCAAGTAAGCTTCTCTGGTATGGGAAAGTACTTCACTATGAATTTCCCTGGATTATACTCTTGTTCCATTAAAGCTAATCCTGTCCTTCGAGCAGGATATTGATTCAGATTCTGCTTTCTCTCTTACTGACCACATGCTACAAGTGAGAACACCAGCCTCCCAGATCATCTGGCTTTTCTTTGTAGGTAGACTTTCAGTTTCCAGCTGAAGAGGCTAAATATTTCTGGGGGCTGCAGCATTAATAAGTGCTGATACACTCACAGCTGGGGCAGTCAGGGAGCAAAAAGTTGCCACGAGGACACTGCTGTCTGACTTACTGCTGAGAGCACTAGCGATGCTGTGAGAGAAAAACAGAGCAAATGGAAAAGAGATTATTCGTTCTAGGAAGAAAATTCTGATGATCAGGGACAAAAGAAAAAGGTCTGAAATTCGTCCCTACAAACGTCTCAGACTTTACTGCGTGGTCTCATCTGCAGCCTCAGTGGGGTTTCAGGCAGAACCTGCATGTGAATGAACACAAGGAGGCTCAAATGTGCAACTGTTAATTGCAGACAACTGTGGGAGTGATGATGCCAAGGTTGTTACTGTAATGCCAAAAGGATCCAACTGGAGTGGTTAAAAGTCATGTAGGACTGAATTTAGAGCTTGTACTCACCTCTCATGGTGTCTGTACAAATCCTGCTTGACTTATCATCACTCTTCAAAATGAGGCACATGTCTGAAGTTCCTAATTTCAAGCAGTAGCTCCTGAACTCAGGCAGAATTTTTGAACTTTCCTCTCTGAGCAGCCAGGCACTGGTTATCCCTGGCTGGCCCCCTTCTGTGGTAGCATCCCATCCCACCACCACCACCTCACAGATCCTGTGCTGAATCACCTTGCAGATTGCATCATTCCTGCCTGGCCAGTGAGGTGCAGGAAGCTGGTGGAGGAGCAAGCCAGTCTCTTCTGCCCAGAGACACAGCTGGGAAAGCTCTGCCCTGCCTGTGTTTTACACTGAAATAACTGCTCAGGGTACCGTTGATGCCAGGAAAGGCTGTTCCCATGGATGGGAATAAATCAATAAACAAAAATTCCTCTCTACCAAGTAATGCTGAATGTACAACAATTACGTTTATCTGTTGGCCTCAATATTTTGTATTATAGCTCCGACAATTTTTGTGTAAGGTAGAATTGCATCGAATGACTCTTCCCTCAAAATGTTAGTACACTGCTACAGGTGCAGGGCAGCAGAGGACTATCAATAGGGCAGGCTGAAACGTGATCTGGTAATTTCATTGGCTTCCCATCAAGTTAATTCTCTGGGGACTTGACAGAAGCCGTGAAATTATGCCAAGAATTAAAGCCAGAGCAAAGTTGGAAGGATGAGTCTGGCTCCTGTCTGAATCAAATCACTGTGCACTCAACAAGTTGGCTGCTGCTCACACACAGACAAAGCTCCTGCAGTCCACACTCTGCAAAATGTGTGCAAGAGCAGGAGCCCAAGTGCTGTGAACATTGCACAGGCAGCAGCAGTGCCCCCTGAGGCGTGTGCCCCATACAGACATGTATCCAGCGGGGTGAATGGAAACATGCACGGAGAGTGCTGGACTCCTCCTTAGAAAATGCATTGTCACCATGGGAAGATTGCTACAAAAGGTGAGTGGAAATCAGAACTGGAACCGATCTCTGTTTGACCTAAAGCTCTGGGCTGGAGATAAATCGATGTCAAACCTCAATCTCAGCTGTTACTTCAGGAACAAAATGGGTGTTTTTTTCCTGTTGATTTAGCCGGTCTCACCCCTGACTTTTCATAAAGTTCACGTTGCACTGGCAATCGAGGAAGGCTGCAAGTTTCTGGAGCCACAACCTGCAAATACCCACCACAGACAATCCTTTGTTCTCTGCTGGCTCAGCGAGGAATTTCTCTGCAAAATACTCATTTTTTTTTTGGTGGCTGCTCATTGATAGGAAGGAGCACACAAGACCCCCATTGTGGCATAGCTTTTCACATAGATGTTGAAGTTACGTTTTAAAGGGAGGTTGAACAACATTTCATGGGGAAGCACGAGAGTTCTGATTTTTTTTTAAAGCAAACAAATGTAAATTTGAAATACAAAAAAACACGTGCTATGTTACATGTGTGCCCAATAGGTTGTTTCGGTGAAAATCATTTGAAAAACATGTGGTTTTGATGATTTGCCTTTGTCCTGCTGCAGCCTGTTTAGCAGCAATTTTTAATGTTGGCACTGGAGTTAAACCAGGCTTTGAGAGGTCCTGGCACCTGGAAGTGTGGTGTTGTGCTCAACAGCCCCCTTGTGTTTGCCCGCTGACCGTTAGACTCTGTGCTTCCTCAGAAAACTGACTGCTGTGAGGCTGGACCTCTGGATCAGCTGTTGGTCTCTTCTGTTCCAACTAAAAGGGAAGGAAAGTATATAAAACTTATCCAGTAGTTAATCCTTCAACTGGAGGAGCTGGTGGGGATGTGGGCAGTGCTGAGAAGGCACCTTCCAGTTTGTTTACCAAAAAAAAAGAAGGGAAGAAACTTCTCAGAATGGACCATTGCTGGGCTGGGGCTGGGAAGGGCTGGAGCCAGGCAGAAGCTCCTATGTACAGCCAGGAACACGTGATCCAGCTCGTCTGTGGTGAGTGCCTTTGTAGGTAATTAACTCCACACGGACTTTGCTTTGGAACAATCATCCATTAGGAAGTAACACTTTGCTGTTCTGGTGGGCTCTCAAATCAGAGGGCAGTCCTGTCTCTGTTCTGGGAAGGGAAGGAGCAGAACTTGCCCAAGGGCCTGGGGACAAGATGATGCACCAAATCACAGAATAATAGAATCAGAATGGCTTAGGTTGAAAGGGACCTCAAAGATCATCAAGTTCCGACCCCCTGCCACAGACAGGATTACCAGCCACTAGATCAAGTACTGGGTCAGATTGCCCAGGCCCCATCCAACCTGGCCTTAAGCACCTCCAGGGAGCGGGCATCCAGTACTTCTCTGGGCAGCCCGTTCCAAAACCTCAACGCTCTTTCAGTAAAAACTTCCCCGACTGGAATACTGGATCTAAATCTCCCTTGCTTTTGTTTAAAACCATCCCCCCCTTGTCCAGTCACTATCTACCCACGTATAATATAGATAGATAGATAGATAGATAGATAGATAGATAGACAGATAGATATTGAGATACATATCTATATGTATCTCATATATAGATGTATCTCATATATAGATACATGTTGATTTCCCTCATGTATCTAAACTCCCCTTAAATACTGGAAGGCTGCCATGAGGTCTCCCTGCAGCCTTCTCTTCTCCAGGCTGAACAAGCCCAGCTCTCTCAGCCTGTCTTTATGGGAGAGGTGCTCCAGCCCTCTAAGCATCCTTGCAGCCTCCTCTGGACCCTCCCCAAAAGCTCCACATCTTTCCTGAGTTGGGGGCCCCAGACTTGCATGCAGTACTCCAGATGAGGCCTCACAAGTGCAGAGCAGAGGGGAACAGTTATGGTCAACTAAGACCTTCTCTTTCCCTCTTGGGTCTTTTGCTGAGAGGAATTGTCTGTGCCTTGAGTTCTTGTGGTCTGGTGATAGGAGGAAGAGAAAGCGTTTGCAGCTAGTTGATGGGACAGGTGTTCTGGAGCCCTTGTTCTCTGTGTGTCCTCTCGCCTTCCCAGTAAGAGTTTGAAGAGCAAGGCAGGTTTAAAGAAAGCTCTCCAGTAGGGTGGGAACCACTGGCCTAACTTCACTTGAAGTTCCTTTGTCACTCATTAAAGCTGATGCCACCTGCTTGGTCATCCCAGTAGCTCAACATCTGCTCTTGATCGTCCGTGCTCATGAGTGGCTTTTCCAGGAGTGTTTTAAGCTTGTTCTTGCATTCATCTTACGAAACCAGTTGAATAGCTGCTCTAATTCAAGTTAGAGATCTCCTTCTGACATGTCAGTTAAGGAGGAGACGTTACACCTGGCCAAGGAGCCATGCTTTTCCAGCAGCCCACAAGCTGCAGCCTCTCTGCTTCCTCCACAAGGGAAATGTGGCGCTGCTCTCTTGTCACAAGAGGTGTTCAGGTCCAGTCCAGCACAGCTAGCTTCAGTTATCAGCCCACAGCCCTGTTATAGCCATATGAGGATCCTTTGAGGTAAAGGCAATGCAACCGAGGGTAGAGGTGTGTTCCTGGAGTAGTTAAACTGGATTTCAGCACAGAGCAGTTTGCACATCCAAGGTATTTCTGCATGCTCACGTTTCTCCTGGAAATGAACAGAGCTTTCTAAAGCCAATGCCAAGATGGCATGCCTGCTTGGCTAATGGCATGGGAGGCAGCAGGGAAGGTTGTTTCTTTAAAAAAAAAAGGAGTCAAGCAGTCTCTCAGGATCATTCTGAGTATTTTCTTCCGCAGAGATGTTGTGACTTGAGACCTAAAGTTACGTGAAGCAAATTTGAATAGCTTTCTTGGACTCTGTAAGCAAAGTGGGACAAATCAAACTGCTCACTGATTCTGATTAGGAGATTGGAGCTCAAAGGAGATGTTGAATAGAAAGTCTAATTTTCCAGCTTCTGTCATGTCCTAAAGGTAGGACTAGGCCACAGGAAAGTACTAAAGCTAGCTGCTTCAGCATTTAAATTATTTATTCTGCTTACAGAAAATCTAGTGCTCTGCAATAAGTTGCTCGTCCCACTTATAAGTCACGATGGTGGCACTGCTCTGAGTCATACACTAGAGGTCCCAGATGAGTGGGTGCAGCGTGGATGTGGTGTGACCACAATGCCTTGGGCTGCATGGAGCTGGGGATGTTCTGGCAAGGGCATCTGGCATGGAGTGTTTCTGTGACGTCTGTTCTGGCACGTACATACATCAGAACAAGCATGTGCTTGGTGCAGAAAAACCATTTGCTTTTAACCTCAGAGATATGACTGAAACCCACCAGAAACTGATAAAAGGTTTCCCAGGGATTTCTGCGAGTGGTAGAGGCAGCTCTCATTAACAACACATGTTGGCTTAAGCTGATATGAAAGTTGGAGAGCTGTGTGTGTCTGGGCTTCGCAAGGGTCTTTTTGTTTTGCAGAACAGTCTCTTCTTGCAGCTGGGAAGTTCTTGCAGGCTGTGTTAGATGACAAATTCTGCTCATTTGAACAACTTAGTCACCCTATGCCAGCAGTTCTCATGAGATAGTTTTATCGTCTTTTAGAGGATTTGGTGCAAAGTGAGCTAAAAGTTCTTCTCATCTTCGAGGTATATGTGGGCTCCACCCTTTGCATTCTTCTGCCTGTGTTGCTAGTGGGTTCTGGAGCCATAACCTAGAGAATCACAGAGTCATAGGAGCTGGAAGAAGATCAACTCCTCTTCTAAAACAGGTTCTCTAGAATAGGTTGTGCAGGAAAGTATACAGGCAGATACTGTATATCTCTACAACCTCTCTGGGCAGCTTGTTCCAGCACTTTGTCACCCTCAAAGTAAAGAAGTTTTTTTCTCTATGGAACTTCCTGTATTCCAACTTGTGCCCATTGCCCCTTGTCTTGTTGCTGAGCGCCACCAAAAAGAGCTTACCCCACCCACTTGATACCTGCCCTTTTAGATTTCTATAAGCATTGAAAAGATCCCCATTCAGTCTCCTCCAGGCTGAAGTCACAGGTTTCTCAACCTTTCCTCTTACAAGAGATGGCCCAGTCCCCTGACCATGGGCCCTCCTCTATACTCTCTCCAGTCTTTCTTGGACTTTCTCCCCATCTTTCTTGAACTGGAGAGACCAGAACTGGACACAGTATTTCAGTTGTGGTCTCACCAGGGCAGAGCAGAGGGGGAGGATCACCTCCCTCAACCTGCTGACCACACTCTTTTTAATGCACTCCAGGATCCCATTGGCCTTCTTGGCCACAAGGGCACACTGCTGGCTCATGGCTAACCTGTTGTCCACCAGGACACCACAAGTCCTTCTCTGCAGAGTTCCTCTCCAGCAGGTCATCCCCTAACCTGTACTGATGCATGCAGTTATTCCTCCCCAGATACAAGACTCTACTTTTTCTCGTTGCAGCTTATCAGGTTCCTCTCTGTCCAACTCTCTAGCTTGTCCAGGTCTTGCTGAATGGCAGCACAGCCTTTTGATGTGCCAGCCACTCCTCCCAGCTTCTTGTCCTCAGCAAACTTGCTGAGGGTGCACTCCATTCCTTCATCCAGGTCATTGATGTTGATGGTCAAGATGTTGAACAAGAATGGACCCAGGACCTACCCCTGGGGAACACAGGCCTCCAAGAGGACTCTGTGCCACTGATCACAACACTCTGTGTTGTGCCAGTTCTCAGTCCCCCTCACTGTTCACTCATCTATCTCACGCTTCTTCAGCTTACCTACGAGGATGTTATGGTAGACAATGTCAAAAGCCTTCCTGAAGTCAAGGTACAACACATCTTCTGCTCTCCCCTCACCTACCTAGCCAATCAGGACAACATAGAAAGCTACCAAATTAGTCAAACATGATTTCCCCCTGTTGTATCCATGTTGACTACTCCTGATAACGTTCTTTTCTTTCACTTGCTTGGAGGTTACATCCAGAATAAGTTGTTCCTTCGCTTTCCTGGGATGGAGTTCAGGCTGTCTGGTCTGCAATTTCCTGGGTTCTCCTCCTTGCCCTTTTTGAAGACTGGAGTGACCTTGGCTTTCTTTCAG